GGAGGAGAGGGCTGAGTGGCGCTGGCCCGGGGGCAATTTCGCAGGCAGGCTTCATTTTATGGTGCGTGAGTGGGGAGCAGTAGGCGGAATTGAGATGACCCTACTTTGGGATGCCAATTTTGCTTATTTTCAGGAAGAACTTCCAATTTCTTCTGATTTTTCAGACTCAGCCTGGGGGCAAAGTGCTGGGGAGATCCACTCTTGAAGACCTCACTTCAGTCAGTGACCTCCCCGGCAGCTCCTCCTCCCAGGAGATGGTGAAGGCGGGGGGTGTCTCTGCCTCAAAAAAAATGACCCTTGTTTCATGGCAGCCCTCTGTCACTGTTGTTTGCAATCAGTATGGTTGAATTCACTTTGTGACTTCTTTGGTCTTTTCCCACCCTGTCTTCTGCTCTGAGCATTTAGATGAATTGATTCCCTTTTGTACTTTTTAAACTGTCATTTTGGTTGAATTTTGGAGTGGTCTGCTTTTTCAATTGCCTTTTAATAGACTAAAGTGCTTTTTTTTTGTTGTTAGACTTAGAACTGAGGTAGTTAGAACAAAGATTCTATGACCAGAAGCAAATTAATATAAATCGTACCTTACTGGCATCACCCCAAAGCACGCTCCAAGCCACAAAGAGACAGAGAACTTGGGGTGATGAGGCAATGACAAACGGGGTGGGAGTGCTTTAGCTCTTTACTGTTTTCCAGGGGGAAATGCAGGCCCCGCAGGAGCAGACTGGGGGCCCATTTGCTGGGCTGTCACCTTCTCACTGCTCTGAGGATGGTCAAAGAATAGCGTGCAGAACTGGCAGAAGTCATTGAAAAGGGCATGTGGAGTCTGTTTCACTCTCTGCTAAATTCTTCCCCCAGAAGAAGTCAGAGTTATGGGAGCCTAACTTTGGAATAGCAAGATAGATCATGTTTCCCAGAAAAGTTCAAAAAGACATTCCTAAACACTTTGCAGAGATGGGGGAAAAAGAACTCTGCAAAAAAGCTGGCTCAATAGTTTCATGAACTGATTAGAAAAAGACTTCGATGCTGTTTCTTGTATACTGTGTACAACTTGCAGGGAGAGAGTAGAAGTCGTTGCCTGGTGTTCAGTCTGGGGACAGCTGTCCTGCGCCTGCCTAGGGCATGCCTCAGATTCCACCTGAGTGATCCTCAGATGTCAGGCGGTGTCAGCAGCTGGTTCCTGCAGAAGCCAGCCGCCCTCATACTGTGACAGAGCCTCGGTTTGCCTGGTACCACATCTTCTCTTTTGGAGCTTACGTAAGTGCCCAGGGTCACACGGTCAGCCAGAGGCTGAGTTGGGATTCGAACCCAGGTCTCTTGGACCTCAGAGCCCATGTTCTTTCTTCCACAACATTGCCTTGCGCCGTTTTTTAAAAAAGAAGTTTGCATCGAAAGGGCAAAATTGACACATGGCTCAGCCATGAATGCGGGTGTTAATACGCTGTAAAGCTCAGTTGTGGTTCAGGCGAGGAGTGATGGAGGACTGACTGCCATGTGGGGAGGCTGGGGAGTTGGTCTGCCCATCCCAGTGCACGGTCCTTCCAGCCTCCGTGAGGCACAGGGCCCAGCCTTGAGCTGACGTTCAGTCGGTATTTGCCGCTGAGCGAAGGAGCCAGAGCAGCTGGAAAGTTTTTGTGGAGAAGGCAGCGTCTAAGCTGGGCTTTGCAGGCTCCTGAGGACTGAGAGGGTGGGGAAGGCAGAAAGAGCTTTCTGGAGCTGAGAGACAGGACAGAGCATGCCAGGCAGGTGGGGTGAAGAATGAGGACTGTAAACCTGTGGTAGGTCAACTTGAAGAATCAGCAAAGGGGGGTGATACCAGGCCTCAGACATCAGAAAGAGAGACGGGAGGGAAAAGGATGGGGAAGTCAATGAGTGGGAACACCGTGCTCCCTTTAAACATGATCTAGGAGGAAGAGACTTTGATTTCTCTGATTCCCGACGATGAATAAAACTCTCTAATTGAATGAATTAGTAATAATACTTATTTTCTCCCCATGAGCTGTAGATTTTGCTAAGTGCTTTCCAGACATCAACTGAACTCATCCTTCCTTAAGTTTGTGAGGTTGATGCCATCTCTATTTCTAGACAGGAGGAAATAGAGGTTCCAAGAAACTCAGAGAGGTTAAGAAACTGGTCCCAGGCCACACAGCCGGCCAGGGCAGAGCAGGGACTTGAAGCAAAGTGTGCCTACTTCTGAGGTTCTTAATGACCAGGTTTTACTGCCTCTCAGAGCAGGTGTAGTTGGCTCCAGCTGCAACAGTGGGGGTCCCTCGGGGAGCTGGAGGCTGGTCTGGCTGCTATGGCATTTGACAGGCAGAACTGGGCAGTCTCATTGGAAGTGCAGGCTGGCTTTGCCCGGGGCCAGGCTGGCACAGTTGGACGGTAGCTGTGCTACAGTGGGACATGGAACAAATGCCCTCCAGGTCAATTCTAGCCACATACCTCGATGCTTCTATGGCTCAAAGACTGGAAAACCACCTCAAAGGAATAAATAAATGAGGGAACAAAATATTTGCTCTTCCCTAGAAAGCTCAGCTGGGAGTCTCTCTCCCATACTTCTCAACATGCAAAATGCAGTTTGAGGGAGCAGATTAACATTTCAAACTGGTTCGTGCAATAGGACCGGAACACCTGGTTTTGCAATAACTCTCATTTTCAGTGTGTGCCGAGGGGTTCTTGAAATTCCCAGGCTTGGTGGATTACCCTAATGACTGGTCACCAGCTGTTATGTTGGCATGTTGTACGACACTTGATTGCGGCACCCCGCTGGCATTTGGCAGCTGCCCCAGCAGAAGCAGGTAGCAGGTTAATGCTGACACCGTCTCTTCCTCTTGTCCCGTGAGGCCAGGCTCCTCTTCAGCGGTAAGTGGCTTAGTCAGTCTTCGGAGAGGAGCATTAAGAGCTGCAGACCATGGAGGCTGGCAAGCACCCTCCCGGCTTCAACATCTGGGCTGATTAATCAAAGCCAAAGGCGCGGGCAGGGGGCGGTGTGACGGAAGGACATTGTAAGATGTGTTGTCCTCGAACCCAGGCTCACTCTGTGCGGCCCTGAGGCCCACATCTTCATTTGTGGGGTTGTATATTAGCTTTATTGATGGAGAGGGCAAATTTGAGAATCTCATTTAAAAGCAACAACAAACGCCAAATCCACCAAAACAAACACAAGATTTGGAGTCTGGAAAGATAAAGTAGGGATTGGGGAGGGTACAGCTGAGTGGTGGAACGCATGCCTAGCATGCACAAGGTCCTGGGTTCAATCCCCAGCACCTCCATCAAAATAAATTAGTCAGCCTAATTACCGCCCCACCCATTTTTTTTTTTAATGAAGACATCTGTCGTTTTTTTTCCCTGCTGCCTAATGTTGAGCTCTCTTGTCTCCTCCATCAGATGTAATATTGATGGGATGCAGGGCCCTGCTTGTCTCCTCGGAAACCAGCCCAAGAGCTTCTCCCCTCTTTAGCCCTGATCACAGAGTGCCAGTGTGTGGCTTGGGCTGGGCCAATCAGACACTCCCACCTGGGCTGCCTTTGCATCTGGCACCGAGGCCTCATGATGACAATTAAGGTGAAGGCAGGGAAGACCAGGATCCAGCCATTCATCCCCGGACACAGCCGTGCCAGCAGCCACGATGCCCTGGAGGAGAAGTTGGGTCCTGATAGAAGGTTTGACTAAAACATGAATTTATTACCTGTTCTTAACTGCTGGATTCCTGGACACTTTCTAAGACCGGAGATCAGCTTTTAGAGGACAATTGTTGGGTCTCAGAGCTCGTTGGACCCTCCCCGGGGCCAGTGTCGGGTCCTGCTGCTTGCAACTATCAAATAAATAAATCTAAACTTAGAGGAGATCTTATTTGAAAGGATTATTGCAGGGAAGGTACTATTGTAAACGGGAGAAACTCCCACAGGAGTATCTGAAAGGCTCTCAAAGGCTGGGCAAAAAAGGGTTTTCTTTTGCAGTGGAGAGTAAATAAGAGTAAAAGAACCGGATATAAGGAAGGGGGTAAAATGATCAGAACAGTCCGTCAGATAATGATTTACCCTGAGGTCAGGCTGGCTGGGCTGCGGGTGAGCCCAAGTCCGGGCACCTGCGGGGAGAGCAGCTTCCCTTTCTGGTTAACGTGCATTTTGTTCCAATTGTTCTGATTCAACTGTTGGGGACAAAACAGTTCAGCCAATCATTTATGAAGCAAAGAATGGGAACTGGGAGCCACTGTGTCTAGCCTTGTCATGGACGATCAAGGCTGGCATCGTGAGTTGTGCACGGCAGGGAGGTTCTTTGCAGCGACCCGTTTTCTGGAAGGGTGGGGGCAGTTTTTTTTTTTTTAACCTTTATTGTTTACAGGAGCACAGGGCTCCCGGCTGATAAGAAGGAAACATGTTTATAAGCTTCTACTGCTGGACACATTATCTCAGTTATGACCACGGAGTGGGTTGTTTTTATCATCCCCACTTTACAGAGAGGTGCAGAAGGGAGCTGAGACAGCAGTGTCTGGGGCATTAATTACACCAGGAAATGGCTGAGCTGGGGCTTGAACCCTGGGTTCTTAGATTCCATGTCTGTACATGTTCCTTTGCAGCATGCTGCCCCTCTGCCTGGGCTCAGAGACTGACCTAATACCACAGAGCTGGTTTGTTTTTAAGACACTAGCACAGTTCTTTGTTACATAAAGGAGCCATATGTCTTTGTGGAATTTTTCATGTTAATTACATCACATCAATATCCAATGGAATACGAAAATGGAGATCAATTGCAATCTCGATTTTCTAGACTGAAATTGTGCTCCGTGACTCCTGTGCTCTCACCCTGGTGCACAGACTCGTCTTCTAACGAAAAGGGACCACATGAGTGCGAACATCAAACCCTGCTGCACCTCTCCCACCCACCGCATCCCAATCATGCTGCTGCAAGCCTTTCTTCTTCTTCTTCTTTAACCAAAATAACATTCTTAAGGAATAAAAGAGAGATGTCAATTTTACAGCTTTCTCTTTGTGGGTTTTCAGATTCCCTACCAAGTGACCCCCCCAAACAAAAGACAGCGGCGATGAAGTGTTTCATGTAGCATCAAGATGGACCCCAAAACAGGATTCGTTTTGGTCCTGAGAAAGCCGGAGCTCTGAGGACACTCTGTTCATGCATGGTAGCACCTGCTCAAGGGGCCTTCCTGTTGGAAAGTGGGATTAGCCGCTTTCAAGCTTCTTGAAGCTAGGATGCTGCAGATATAAGGTGAAACGACCCCAGGGTTCTGTCCCCAGAGGGTACTTGTTCTCTAGGTGACTCCAGGTGGGGGTTGGTGCCTGGGGGCTGCTTTGTCCCTCCAGCCCTGCTCCCCTCTCCTCTTATTCACAGGGGCCCGGTCTTCTCGCTGCCTCAGGGGGCTGGTGTCAGGTGTCGGGGATCAGAATTTTTAAAATGCACACTCTTAGGATGACTAAATAGCTTTGGTTCCCCTGTGACTTGTCACCTCATGATTCTCTTAGCTTCCCATGGGGCTGAATTCCCCCAAAAGCTTCTGGGGAGCATCCCGGGCCCACCGTGTCTCCTGGGAGCAGGTCAGAGCATTTTGTTCACCTTCCATCTTGCTTAACCTCATCTCACTGATCTTCCTCAAGCAGTGGTTTTAAAAATAAAGGACCTCCTCTCACTTGGAATTCCCTTCTCCTGAGACATCTCTGCGGTGAACAGAGCCAGCCCCCAGTCCCTGCTGCTAACTGGCAATGCTCACAGGCTGATAGCAGTGAGGTTCCTCCCTCTGCTGGGAGGGAGGTCTCGGGCCCCGCTGCTTCCGAGGTGGGGGTCGGGGGGAAGGTGCTGGACAGGGCCCGGAGGGGTTCAAGCTGCCCCATTTGGACTTGCCTCTTGGATCAATCCACCCTCTGTATCCCTTCAAGAAGGGCACCTGATGGAGGCCAGAAAGGATTCTGCATCTGAGGCTGCGGAAAGCATCACTTAAACATTTCCCCGCGGCAAGGTGAACGCTCCTGCCAGCCAGACACTGCCCTTGGACTGTGTTCAGGCCCGAGCCCAGCTTGTGCTTGGCAGGAGCGCCTGTGGGTTCCTTCACTCAGAGCTCGCCCAGCCTCTGCTTTCATCCCGGCTCTGCTGGGGAGGTGGGAAGAGGCCAGCCGGCTTCCAGGTGGGCTGAGTCCCTGCATGAGGTCGACCCCCCTACTAGAAGAGCCAGGGCATGGGGAGGTGGAGGCAGGTCTTCCAGAGAACGGGGGCCTGGCCCCAGCATCCTGGGGGCCTGGACGGCTGAGTGGAGAGTGGGGGCCAAGTGTCCTCTGGCTCAGAGGGTCACACACGTTTGGGCATAGACGGGGGATTTTTCAACCACAGCCCTGTTCCTGCCAGCCCTTCGTGTTTATCCACTCACAGGATTGATTTTTCTAATGAAATCCTCCTACTGTATGATTTAGGTTCATTTATATAAATTATACAGTGATTTATTTAATGACCTACTTGGAGCACTGTAAATTCTACAGCATCCGTGCAATTTATTATTTAAACCCCATATAAATCATGCAAGACAAGGAGACAGAATTGTGTCTCAGGATCACAGGCTTGGTTCACAGTGCCTTATGGAAGCTCAAAGTGGGCTGTGTTTTAAGTACGGAAAACAGACAGAGGACGGACATGCCAGCTGTTTTGGGGGGGGTGGTGAGGGTATCCCAGCAAGCTTTGTTTCTTGGCTCAAACAGCACGGCTCCCTGTGGGGTTCACTGCGGCTCCATCCTCGGGCTGTGGGGTGACACTCCAGCAGGCAGAGCTGATGTTAGAGGCGGCCGTGGGCTCCGCGTGGCCAGGGACGGTGTGCCTGGCACTCTGACATTTCCAAGCTTCGAGAGGTGAACCATACTTCATGCAATAGTGACAGAATGGGCCCTGAGGCTCTTGCCTAAGCCCCAGCGAATTTGCTTAAAAAATATCCTCTCTTGTGTGAATCCGTCACCTCTTCACTTTCCTCAGTTGATCAGTTCCTGCTGCAGGTTTCCCTCCAGGCAGCAGTGGGCAAAGGAAACCTATGGCTGTTTATAAGGAGACCCAATCTTTGCCCCTCCCCAGAGCTGGGAACAGGAGGCACGTGACCTAGAAGTGCAGCATGCAGGATGCTGTGAACTGGGCAGGTGCGTCACTCAGTCGCTCACTCCTTCATCCATTCAACAAGCATTTACTGTGCTCTTCCTAAATTCTGAGGAATAGGAAAAAGGAGTCAAGGCCCGTCAGGACTGGAGTGGAACAGTCTTAGAATCAGACAGCGCCCCCTAGGGCAGAGCCAGGCGGCCTTAGGGAAGTTTTAAACCTCCTGCTGGACCCTTAGCTTCCTCAGCTGTAAAATGAGGCTGGTAACAGTACCTATCATCCGAAGTCATTACCAGGTGAAGAGAAATAAGTGAAGTGATGCATAAATCATCGAGAACAGGGCTCGGCAGATAATAAATGCTCCAAAATGTTAGTTATTATTTGACATGAATTCTGCCTTCTCCAACTATAAAATATAGAAGGTTTGCAAGACTCGTACATAAATAATGATGACCTAAGATGGGAAAAATATAGGTACGATTAAGAAAGGTACAGATGGAGTGCTGAGCTAAGCTCTTCTTGATCATTTGAATATTTTGGAATAAGCACATCACACACACAGTGCGAATTCAAAAGGTACAAAAAAGAAATACAATGAAGAGTAATTCTCCCTCCCATAGCTGTCCCCTCCTCCACCCAGATGCAGCCACTGTTTGTCTCTTGTGTCTCCGTCCAGAGAAATCTTTGCACATCGAACACATGTGTACATGTGTTCTTTCTGTTCACACGAATCACAGCACACAACCGCTGTCCCGGGAAGCTTTCTTTTTCCCCTTAGCGATGTGTGCTGGAGTTCCGTCCTGCTGCTCTGCCCTGTACCATTCTGTTCTGTGGGAGGCCATCGCTGAGTTAACCGGCTCTGCACTGCTCCACTGTTACGTGGCTTCCAATATTTTGCTATTACAAAAAAAATTACTGCAATAAATGTCGCTTCTTGTTAAAGGATTTGTTAAGGATAAATAACTGAGTGTGTAATTGCTGGGACAGGGTATGCATCTGCAATTTTTTTTAGTTGTTGCCAAATTGTGCTTCACGGAGCTTTTACCAACTGCAGTCTTGCTGGCAATGGTTGTACTGATTTGTACACTCAGCCAACAAAATGAGCCACTAAATGCTTGACCTTTGAGACTGAGTATCTTTTACATCTTTAGGAGTTTTTTTGGAGTCTTTTACATGAACCGTCTATTCATATTTGTATTGAGGAATTAATTTTTTTTCTCATTGATTTGGAGCAGTTCTTTTTAAAAAAAATATATGTATTTATTGAAGTCTAGTCAGTTTACAATGTTGTGTCAATTTCTAGTGTACAGTGCAATACTTCATTCATTTAGGAACATACATATATTCATTTTAATGTTCTTTTTCTCCATAAGTTACTACAAGATATTGAATATAGTTCCCTGTACTATACAGTATAAATTTATTGTTTATCTATTTTATATATAGTAGTTAGTATCTGCAAATCTTGAACTCCCAATTTATCCCTTCAAACTCCCTTCCCCTTGGTAACCATAAGTTTATTTTCTATGTCTGTGAGTCTGTTTCTGTTTTGTAAATAAGTTTTTTTCTTTTTTTAGATTCCACATATAAGTGATATCATAGGGCATTTTTCTTTCTCTTTCTGCCTTACTTCACTTAGAATGACAATCTTCAGGTGCATCCATGTTGCCGCAAATGGCATTATTTTATTATTTTTATGGCTGAGTACTATTCCATTGTATAAATATACTACAACTCCTTTATCCAGTCATCTGTCGATGGACATTTAGGCTGTTTCCATGTCTTCACTATTGTAAATAGTGCAGCTATGAACATTGAGGTGCATGTATCTTTTTGAATTAAGGTTCCCTCTGGATATATGCCCAGGAGGGGGATTGCTGAATCATAGGGTAAGTCTGTTTTTAGTCTTTTGAGGAATCTCCATGCTGTTTTCCATAATGGCCGCACCAAACTGCATTCCCACCAGCAGTGCAGGAGGGTTCCCTTTTCTCCACAGCTTCTCCAACATTTATTGTTTGTGGACTTTTGAATGATGGCCATTCTGACTTGTGTGAGGTGATACCTCATGGTAGTTTCTGTTTGCCTTTCTCTGATAATTAGTGATGCTGAGCATTTTCTCATGTGCCTGTTAGCCATTTGCATGCCTTTATTGGAGAATTGCCTGTTTAGTGGAGCAGTTCTTTATATATTAAGGAAATCAGCCCATTGTCGGTGCTATGTCATTTGCACCACGGCTACTGCTGCCCTTAGACCCAGCCAAGAGGAGTCCTTGCGCTGGCTCCACCCTGGCCTCCTATGGATGTGCAAGTGCAGGCTGGGTTGCTCACAGCACGAGTGCAAGGCCGCCTGCAGTATGAGGTCCCACCAGGAGAGGGCAGAAAAGCTGGGGGAGCTGAGCTAGCTCCTCCCGCTGCCACGTGTGGTGTGGAACTCTGAGAAGTTCCAGAACTCTTAAGGTCCAGCCTGGCCTTCCAGGTCATTTTGAAGACATATTTGTCAAGGTAGGAGAGCAAAACATATTTTATTTAAATGATTTTTATTACCTTGATTTACAACTTTTAAATATTATGACATATACTGTGTGAGCCCCGTTTATAATCTTGCTCTGGGCCCTGCAAATGCCAGGGCAGGCCTGACCACATCCTCTAGAGTCAGCAGGAACCACAGGGCACCCTGACATTTATTTGCATTTTCATCTGGCAAGAAATCAAGGCCTCCAATTTGTGATGGATTTCAGAGCACCAAGGAAGTACAGGAAAGTCAGCCTCACTTTGGAGAGTTTCTGTCTTACCCCCATTTTATAGGTGGGGGTAACTGAGGCCCGGTGGGGCTCAGCAAGTTACCCCAAGTCAGTCTGCTTCTTTTCTTTTTTTTCCAGGCCCTCTGATACCTTTGCTAAGTGCTTCTGTGAAAACTACTTAAACATCCAGCTTTTCATTTTGTAATCAAATCAGATAAAGTCTCCAGCAAGAGAGAATACACAGAGCTTCAAATGCAAGGATCAGCCCAGATTTCACGCCAGACTGGAACCGTCTGTCTTCAGAGGCGGGCTCTCTCGATAACTGCGTTTCATAACAGAGGAGCCCTCTCTTTGATTTTGTCCTGCGTGATCATCTGGAAGCACACGCACCAGATCGCTGGAACGATGCCATTAAAAATATTTATACTGGTGTGAGGTTGTTTGCGTCTTAGCCCGTGCGCTGCTCTAATCGCACAGTGGCAAACATGACATTTTCCCCAAGTAATTACAGAAGCCAGCAGACATTTCGAGGAAGTTGGCTGTTTATTGACAATGAAAGCGCAGCCTCGCAGATCCAGGCTTCTGGAATCATGGCAGTGTGGCTTTGTAACCTAATTTGTGCTCTTTCCTGGTAATGGGCAGAGGCCTTGCAGAAAGCCGGACAGGACCCTCGGGCCTGAAAAACACCCCCAGGTGAGAGACGCAGCCCCAGTGCCGGAGTCGAGAGCCTTTTGCTGCTCCTCTCCCCCCT